AAGAAGAAGGGGGTGTAAAAAGAAGAAGAGGGGGTAAGAAGAAGAAAGGGGAGTAAGAAGGAGGGGAGATAAGAAAAAGAGGGGGTAAGAAGAAGAAGGGGGAGTAAGAAAGATGGGAGTAAGAAGATGGGGGAGTAAGAAAGAGGGGAGTAAGAAGAAGAAGAGGGGAGTAAGAAGAAGAAGAGGGGGGAGCAAGAAGAAGGGGGTGTAAGAAGAGGGGGAAGTAAGAAGAAGGGGGAGTAAGAAGAAGAAGAGAGGGGGAGCAATAAGAAGAAGGGGGGTAAGAAGAACAGGTGGGGGAGTAAGATGACCAAGGGGGGAAGTAAGAAGAACACAGGGAGGAGGGGGGTAAGACGAACACAGGGGGTGTGAGGAGAACACATAGAGGGAGGAGTGAGAAGAACACAGGGAGGGTGGAGGGGGGGATGAGAAGAGCACAGGGAGGGTGGGTGAGTGTGAGAAGAGACCGCTAGGGGAGGGTGGGGGAGAGGAGAGACCACCAAGGTGCAGGGGAGAGCTCTACGGGACAGAAGGGGCAGCTCTATAGGACAGGGGCCAAGACAGGGAGCTCTTTCACACTACGCGCGCGCACACACACACAATGCATCCCTATACATACACAGAAACACAACACATGTTTTACACACAGAGAAACACATACAATGTAATCTTACACACACACACACACACACACACACACACAATGCACCCTACACACAAAGACAATGCATCCTTTGCACACATACACAGAAACAGACAATGCAAACCCGTACACACATATGCAAACACACACACTTCTTTTCTTACATACACACAGAAACACAATGCATCTCTTACACTCAATGCACACACATACAAACACACACCTTGCATCCCTTATGCATACAAACACAGATTCACACAATGCATCCCTTACACACAACCAGAAACACACAATACATCCCTTATACACAAATACACACTGCTTCCACTACACACAAACACACTGCATCACCTGCACAAACTGGTATCCCTATACACTACACACCATAAGCACACATATTAGATCCTCTACAATAACACATAACACATCCCCTACACACTCCACTCCCTGTGAGCGAACTCATGGGTGGGTGGAACATATAAGTGGACTTATGAGTGGGCCTTGTGGGCATACTCACCGTCAGGCCCTGGGGCCCAGAACTTGAGCTGTGTAAGGGCCCCCCCCAAAAATGGAGCTGCTTCCAATTCTCCCAGAACATTGAATTTTGTGACCACAGTTACAAACAGCCTCCAGAGATCCTGTTCTACACCAGACCAGTGGAGCCAAACTGCAGCCCATCATCATCCTCATCTGCTTGTAAGTAGGCAATCTAGTATATTATTAGTGACACTAATCCATAATGTACCTCACATTAAAGGGACACTATAGCTTAATGAAGTGGTTCTGGTGTCTATAGCTGGTCCCTGCAGGCTTTTTAATGTAAACACACACTGTGTGCAGCACTGGCGCTAGTTCATATGGCAGATCATATGGGTGGGGCATTGTGATGTGACATGTGGGGGCAGCAAATTTTTATTTTGTCTAGGGCGGCAAAAATCCTTGCACCGGCACTGATCCTGGGCAGGTGCACCAGTCTACTGGTGACCCACAGGAGGGGAGTGCACTGATTGTACTGCACTCTCCTCCTGTCCAGCCCCATCTTTACCGCAGTGCAAGTGCCCTCTGCCCCTAATTTACAGTGGCTCACACTCACAACAAGCAGTGCCTGGAGCCGCGAAGGAGCGGGTATGGCAAAGAGCTACTGATTAGCATAACATCAATATCCGTTATAAAACCAGGAAAAGGTGGGCATGGATGGTGAACTGATTTGGTGGTGCAATGGGCCACTTGACTGGTTTTGCTCCCCAGGCCTAAGGCTGCCAGCCCTCCCCTGGCTGCTGGGGAGGTCTTTTGGCGGCCGCTGGCGGACTTGTCCTGGCGGCCGCTGGGGGAGCTGCGCGAGCTGCGCTGGCTCTGCTCCCCAGCACGCAGCTGAATGAGACCGGCGCCGGAATATGACGTCATTCAGCAGCTGAATCTCATTCAGCAGCGTGCGAGGGCGGGAGGGCACTAACACAGGAAGCACCTCTAGTGACCGTCTGAGTGACTGTCACTAGCAGTGTCACTTTGAAGCAATGTAAACACTGCCTTTTGTCTGAAAAGTCAGTGTTTACGTTGAAAAGCCTGTAGGACATGCTATAGACACCAGTACCACCACATTAAGCTGTGTGTGTGCGTCTGCTAGTGAGTGAGCTTGCTTGCATGTGTGTGCCTGCTAGTGAGTGAGCTTGTGTTTTTATGTCAATGAGCTGATGTATATCAGTAAGATTGTTTGTCTATGAGGCTGTGTATCAATAAGCTTGTGTGTGTCACTGAAATGTCAGTGAAATTGCCTGTGTCTGCATGTGCGTATGCTTACTGTATAATTAAACGTTTTACCCTGAAAGGACCAATATTTTATATTAGAAAAAGCAATATATATATATATATATTTATATTACTCAATCATCTGTCCTGGCAAGACATAGCCTTACATATTACACGCGACAATATATGGCGCAGTGACTTATGGGGCTGGCACAAATTTTTTTTCCAGGGCTGCTTTGTATCCCCAGTCCGGCCCTGCCTGGAAATGCCAAAAATGCTTGGAAAACTACATGTACAGATTTGCTTCTCCAGTGACGTAGAATAAAGAAGTTATTCTCATAGACAGCAAAACAAAGACACATAAAGAGAGATTATAAAAAAAAAAAAAAAAAGTGAAATCCAGAGACAAAATCGCTGTGGCAGAGATTCTAAAATATAAGGCTTTCTGTAGCAGTAAAACACACAGCATACAAATCTATTAAATTATACATAACTGTGTCAACTTTAATGTGCTAGCCCATATTGAAGCCATTCATATAATGACATGACCGAATCTTGAACTTAATTCAGAATCCTTAAAGGGACACTAAAGTCACCAGAACAACTACAGCTTGTTGAATTTGTTGAATGTGTAGAATCATTACCTTCAGGCTTTTTGCAGTAAACACTGTCTTTTCAGAGAAAATGCAATGTTTACATTACTGCCTAGCGATATCTTCACTGGCCACTCCTCAGATTGCTGTTAGAGATCCTTCCTGGGTCATGGCTGCCTAAAATGCATCCAAACATTCAGTGTCTCCTCCCTCTGCATGCAGACACT